TGCTCTGCTGTGAGGATCCCCAGTGCTCTTGTGGGATATCCCACTGTTATGCTAGTGCATGAGGTGCTGGGCTCCATCCCAGAGCTGAGTGTGTCTCAATAGCACAAGGCGATGGGGGAGATTGGAGCAGTGGGCCAGGATCCTGGGAGGACAGGGTGGAGCTGGTCCTGCTCTAGGAGGGTGACTGTGGCTCCAGGAGGGTGACTGTGGCTCCTGATTATGCTGGTGGGAACAGGACTGCACCAGCAGAGCTTATGCCTCCATGACCTACAGATTTAGCTCCTCTCTTCCCCCACAGATAAGTTTCTGCAGAACCAGCGCCTCAGTTACGGACAGCTCCTGTCCCTGCTGCTGGGGGTGGAAGGGAATGGGACTGGGCTGGCTCTGCTCCAGGTCCAGCTGGTGCTGGAGGGCGAGGGGATGAAGATCACCATGTCCAGCACCAAGAGCCAGCCCCAGCATGGAAAGCAGGCTGTCACCTTCAGGTACCCATCACAGTGCTTTGGGGAGCCTCAGTGGGGTTCAGGGCACAGCACATCTGATCTTGCCTGGGCTGCCCTTTGCTGTAAGGTCCAGACCTGCTCTCTGCCCCCCTTGGGGATTTAACTGTGCCCCCATTGCTGTGCCTAGGTGCCAGTTTGGGAGCCAAAGTGTCCTGCAGCATGTGGCTCTCAGGCTGGCCCTATCCTTCCTCCCACACTCCTTCTCCAACAGGCTGCATGAGACAGAGGAAGGTGTGGAGCCTTTGCTATCAGCCTTCAGCTTCCAGCGTCTGCTCTCCAACCTGACTGCCCTTCGCCTCCGCGTGAGCCGCGGCCCCGTGCGAGGTGGGTGGCTCCACACAATGTCCCCATGGGGACCAAGCTGGGATGGGGCTGGGGACATCAAAGCAGCATCAGGCTCTCTGGGATGACAGGCATTGCAGGGCATGTGTTTGGGCAGGGTCTGTGAACACCCCTGGGCTCTCCAGGAGGTATTCTGGGGTCTCCTATGCCTGTCTGGAGCATTTCCAGGCAGGATGGAGAGAGCAGAGCAGGGAATGTGCCATCCCATTCTCACGCTGCTCTCCCCTCTCACAGGCAGGCTGTTCCTGAGTGAGGTCCAGCTCACATCTGCTGGCCCTGGGCCTGGGATACAGGCAGGCTGGGTGGAGAAGTGCACATGTCCCACGGGATATGCCGGGCAGTTCTGCCAGTCCTGCGCTCCAGGCTTCAAACGGGAGATCCCTTTTGGTGGCCCCTTCGTCAGCTGTGTGCCCTGCACCTGCAACCAGCATGGGGACTGTCACCCCATCACAGGTGTGCACCCCCCAGCCCCTCCACTCACCTCATCACTGTGTGCATGGGTGACAAATCCTTGTCTTTGCTTGCTCCGAGGGATGTTGGAAAGGGGAGGTTGTGGTATGCAAGATTTGCAAGTTGAAATGCTTGGCTGGTTGTAGGGACTGGGCTCATGGCTGCAAAGACAGAGATTATTAATGAAGTGCAATAATGGTGGTAATTTATAATAAGAGAGGAATTTTTCATGGTACTTGATGACCTTTAATGAAGAGAAGGGAATGGTGCTGGTCCTCAGAGGAGTGGGGGACCAAGGGTCAGAGCAGCAGACAAGCAGAGGTTTTGCCAGGCTGGATCTTGCAGGCAGCATCACTGCACAGAGTGGAACAGCACTGGGCACAGCCCTGGAATCTGCAAACTGGGGGTGAACCTGAGCAGAGAAACAAGGAAAAGAGCAGGAAAATACAGAGGTGCCAGGTTTGTGGGAAAGCACCAGTGGAACTGGCCCTTCTGCTTCCAGCCCCAGCTCTGCTCTGCCTCCAGATCCAGCTCAGAGGTGTGTGACTGCAGCAGGGATTGTGGGTGAAGGGAGGAAAAAGCCAAAGCAAAGTCTTTGGGGCAGCATGGCTGTGTCTGGAGTGGTTTGCCTGCCAGGCAGGGTGTCTGGGTGGCTTTTTGGGGGAAAGGGGAGCAGGACTGTAAACCACTGCCCTGGAGCTTGAGGTGGCTGTCTGAATCCAGCAACAGCCTTGCTGCTGTCAGCCCTGGGAAAAGGCAGAGCAGAGCCCTGAGGAGCTCATGAGGTGCTGCTGTGCTCCCCATCCACCTCTGCAGGCAACAGCAGCTCTGGTCATGCTGGAAAAAGCTTGGAAATACAATGCATTGGTTACCCAGAGCTCTTGGATGAGGGGGAGTCCCTGGGGCTGCTCGCTGGCTGTCTCCCCCCAGGGAGGGATGGAGAGGGCTGGAAGAGGTAGAGTGCTCAGGAAGTGCCTCTGTCCTGCCAGTGGAAATGGAGCAGCAGCTCTGCAAACTCACCCTCATCTCACAGAGCAAGGGCTGGCAGCTGACTGCACAATCCCCAGGGACTGGGCCAGGCTTTTGATGTCCCAGCCTGGGCGCTGCCAGCCCGCACGCTTCCTTCAGTTTATTTTTCCACTCCTTCCTGCCACCCGCTTTTCCTTTCTTTTCCATTGTCTGACTCTGCCTGGATGTAGGGGAAAATGGAAAAACACCCGTTCCCTCCTGCGCAACCCTCCTGGCATGACCCTACTCCCACAAATCATGGGGGGAAATCCTCCCCCTGGCTGCTTCTCTCTCTCTCTGTCTCTCCAGTGAAGCAGAGCATCTGCCTGGAGGTGGGGGTTCCTTGAGCACCCTTCCTTCTCTTCCTCCTCCTTCTCCTCCTGCTTCTGAGCTTTGCTTGACCCACCAAGGTAAGTCCAATGGAGTTTTTGTCGAGATGCTCCCCGGTGGGTGCCGAGCCTGCTGCTTGTGTTTTCCATGGCAGGCTGGAAAGGACGTGGCTGGGAAATGTGTTGTCGATTACGGCAGGCGCCGACAGCCTCCTTGCACAT